TAACAAAATGCTTAAACGTAACAGAAGGTCTACAGATAACAAGATGTTGTTTACTTTGTCCTTGCTAACTTTTAATCACAAGTTCTATTCTATCCTAAAGTGAGTTTATACAATATCATTCCCCCCTTTTCTGGAAAATCTAGTAAATTCTTTTACTTAATATGAAAATTTTCTTCCCAGTCTTTATGATATGTACCCCTCAATACCTTGCCATGCACATTTGTCAAGGAGGCTAACATGGACATTTGTTGCAACAATTTCCGATTCCAAACAAGTAATACAAAAGACAATATTAAACTTATACCAACTAATATCAATTAAACAATAATTGGGTGACTCAGTGTGTTCAAAATCCCAGTTGCAGTTGGCGACCATCCAAAAAGTGTATCCCACCAGTTGTGACTTGTGTCTTGTTTTTTTGTTTTTGTTTTTTTTTTTTTAAACTAGTTGCTTCATTAGTGTGAGGTTCATCCCAATAGGTGTAGGTAGTAACTTATGATACATTGTGTTGTTAGACTTGATCAGCTGGTGGGATACCACTGGTGCCAAATATAGAATATCACACCCGACGATTCTAACAAAGTTACAAATACAGAAATTAGAATGATGTTTGCTATGGAGAGTTATGTTCTCCTTATCTACTTCTACAAAATCACAAACAGTTCGCAGCCCGCCCGCCCACCCCCCCAGTATGTTCAAAGGCAGCCCCTACGGAGTGTCAGTGAGTAGGAGTGTGGTGCATCAATGCATGCAGGTTGACTGCTGTCTATTCTGGGAACAACACGGAGCAGCTTTCCAGTGAGGCAAAAATGGTGTCCATCTGCCGCACCTGCTGGGCTGAGACTGAAACCCAGACAGAGGGGCCACGCCCCTCCCCCTGGCAGACGCCTCTACCCAGACGGACCTCCCAAGGACTGAAAGAGCTGCCCAGATCCTCAGTTGCAGGGAACTCCAGAATCTGGAGGTGCCCCTAGGGCCTGAAGCAGAGTTGCATGACATGGCTGCAAGTTTGACCAGATAGGTGAACTCTCTGAGCAAGTTGCCAGGTTGCAAGAGGAGCTCAGCAGGCTGTGATGCATCCAGGAATCTGAGCGAGAGATCACTGCATGTGTGGTGATTTTACTTGGGTGGGCAGCTGAGGTCCACCTCAGCCGCACTTTCACTCCCCCTCCTCAAAGGGAAAGGGGGAGAAAATACAATGCAAAGGGCTCAAGGGTTGAGATAAGGATGGGGAGATCACTCAACAGTTATTGTGATGGGCAAAACAGACTCAGAGTAGGGAGACAGTAAAATTTATTGCCTATTACTAACGAACTAGAGAAGTGAGAAACAAAGGAAAGAAACCAAAAACACCTTCTCCCCATCCACCCTCTTCCATCTCCTCCCCCCCAAGCGGTGCAGGGGAATGGGGGTTGCGGTCAGTCTATAGCACTTTCTCTCTGCTACTCCTTCTTGGTCACTCCCTTCCCCTGCTCCAACATGGGGTCCCACCCATGGGATACAGTCCTTGATGAACTGATCTGGTGTGGGCTTCCCACAGGCAGCAGCTCTTCAAGAACTGCTCCAGATATGGATCAGTACCACAGGGTCCATCTTTCAGTACCACAGGGTCCATCTTTCAGGAGCACACTGCTCCAACCTGGGTCCCCCACGGGCGGCAGTTCCTGCCAGGTCACCTGCTCCTGCGTGGTCTCCTCTCCACGGGTTACAGTTCCAGCCCAGAATCTGCTCCAATGTGGGTTCTCCACAGGCCACAGCCTCCTTCAGGTCAGACCCATCTGCTCCACTCTGGTATCCTCCAGACGCTGCAGCGTGAAAATCTGTTCCACCGTGGTACACCATGGGCTGCAGGGGGACAGCCTGCTCCATCATGGTCCTCTCCACAGGCCACAGGGGAACTTCTCCGGTGCCTGGAGCACCTCCTCCCCCTCCTTCTTCACTGACCTTGGTGTCTGCAAGGCTCTTTCTCACTCCTCACTCTCCCAGCTGCTGTTGCACAGCATTTTTTTTCCCCCTTTCTTAAGTATGCTCTCCCAGAGGTGCAAACAGCATCGCTTATTGGCTCGGCTCTGGCCAGCAGTGGGCCCCTAATCTAACATGGGGCAGCTTCTGGATTCTTCTCACAGAAGCCATCCCTATGGCCCCCCGCTACCAAAATCTTGCCACGTAAAACCACTACAGCATGGTATCATGTACTGGTGCAGGCTGAGCAACAGACCTGCCATTAGTCCTCGTAAGGGTGTGGTAACGTGGTTGCCAACCCGAAACTGGCAGAACTGATGGACTCACAAAACAAAGGAGGCTGGACCCTCATCTCTGCTCGGAGCAGAGTGAGGAATCTCCTCCTTGCCCCTGAAGTGCCCCTACACAACAGATATGATGCTCTGGGGCTCAAAAAAGGAGAGGGTGTCAATAACAACAATGGTAATGGTCAAGACTCAGGAAAGAGCAACTGTATGAAGGTGGACCAGCAAACCAGTTGTATAAGAACCAGTGCCACAAAAAAAGCATGGAGGGTGTTGGATATTGGAGATTTCTCTCTGAGAAGCACTGAGGTGCCCATTTTCCACCCAGACAATATCAAGAAAGAGGTTTTCTGCCTGTCTGGGGCCTGCATTCGTGACATCACAAAGAGGCTACCAGGCTTGGTTAAGTCAGAGGGCTATCACCCATTCCCCCTCTTTCATGTAAGGACAACTGAGGCCGCAACAAGGAGACTCCGAAACATCAAAAGGGACTTCATTTTCCTTTGGAAAGATGCTGAAGAGATCAGGAGCACAAGTCGTGTTCTCCTCAGTCCTCCCAGTTGGAGACTGGGACCCAAGGAGGAGGCAGCGTATGGATCAGGTGAATGATTGGCCGCATAGCTGGTGCCATGTTCAGGGTTTCAGGTTCTATGATCTCAGGCATGCTTTTGAGAGACCAGGCATGCTGACACAGGATGGGGCACACCTGATGAAGTGGGGCAAGAGCATTTTGGGCAGCAAGCTGTCTGGGCTCATTAGCAGGGCTTTAAACTGGATTCAGCAGGAGAAGGGGATGTACCTGCAAGTGACACAAAAGAACCACTGAATGCCAATACTTTAGAAAACATCAGGGAAACACCTGTGAATAGTCCCATAGGAATTAGGAAGGACTCTTCTAAAAAAGTGATGTGGCCTATAGCTCAGCTGAAGTGCCTCTACACCAATGCATGCAGCATGGGAAACAAGCAGGAAAAGTTGTAAGCCACGGTGCAATTAAAAAACTATGAACTAATTGCTATCACAGAAATGTGGTGGGACGAATCACACAGCTGGAACATTTGAATGGAGGGCTACAAGCTTTACAGGAGAGACAGGCAGGGAAGGAAGGGTGGGGGTGTTGCCCTCTATGCTAAGAAATGGATATATTGTGAAGAGTTGCCTCTGAGAAACAGCCAAGAGCAGGTTGAGAGCCTGTGGGTAAAAATTAAGGACCAGACCAACAAAGGACACCTTGTGGCTGGGGTTTACTACAGGCCACCCAAGCAAGGGGACCCTGTAGAAAAGCTGCTGGGAAAGCTATGCAGCTGGCTGTAAGCAATCCAGGGGTGCACTGAGGATAACTTCCTGATCCAGGTATTAGACAAACCAACCAGAGGAGAAGCATTACTGGACCTGGTGCTCACCAGTGCAGAAAAGCTGATTAAAGAGGTCAAGATCGGAGGAAGCCTGGGTTGCAGTGACCACGCCCTGGTTAGTTTGTCATCTTGAGGGATATGGGCCTGGCAAAGAGCAAAGTCAGGACCCTGAACTTTAGAAGAGCCAACTTCCAGCTGTTCAAAGAATTAGTGGATGATATCCCATGGGACACAGTCCTTAGGGATGGAGGATCTGATCAGAGCTAGCTCTGCCCAAGCCTCGTCAGCGGCTCTCGTGAGGGCTGCCGGGTCCTGACGGCTCCCTTGACTTCCTTGAGAGCCTTTGGCAAGTGATTGTGACCTTCTAATCCCAGGGGAATTTACTAACTGTTCCATGAGCAGCCTAAAGTCTGTTCTCCCTATATCTAGGGTTGAAGTTTTGGTGGCAGTTTTCCTCCAGTCACCAAAGATTGTAAACTCGACTTCCTCATGGTCACTGTGGCCAAGATGGCCACCAATTGCTACTTCACCGACGAGACCTTCTCTGTTCAGAAGCAGCAAATCTAGGAGGCCACCTTTAGATCACTTGTGTCTGTATTGGGACTAATTCAATTTTTGATTTTTCCTGTTCATCCCTAATAATTTCCCATAGTTTTCATCGCTCATAAATAAGGAGCTGAAAATACCCATTGGCTTATTTTTTCCACGGATTACTTACTGTATAGAATATGAATTCTTATTTGAGTCAGAGTCAAATCACTCATAGTCAAAAGCCTACTTTAGTAAGCTTCAGTGGAAAATTTTAAACTGCTGGGAGAGTTCAGTTTAGTTACAATTAAAATTAAGAAAGGGATGAAATTTGAATACATCTAGAAAAAGTCCCATATACAATTACACCTTGGCATTAAATCGTACCTAAGAATACAGCTCTTAAGAAATAATGTCCACCTTACTACAGGAGGGTGCATATTTTTATAGATGTTTCTTTGAACTAGCCTCATCTGAGGAAAAGCCTTAGAAATCAAATGATTGGGGCTGTTAATTCTATACTGTGATAAGGAAATTTAATACAAAAATAGCAGAGAAGAAATGAGCTTGAGCAGAATCTTGTTAATAGTACCATCACGATCTCTTTGCACTGTTAAATACAGAAAACTGTCAGGTAGCTTTAATCATGTATTTTCTGAGAATAAAAGCATTTTCATTGATAAACTGGCTGATAATGTTACCTCATAGTGTGGTGTGAGCACTGTAGTGCTATTACTAAGACAAGAGGGAATGGCCTCAAGTTGTGCCAGGGGAGGTTCAGGTTGGAAATTAGGATAAATTTCTTTTTAGAAAGAGTGGTTAGGTATTGGAATGGGTTGCCCAGGGAGGTGGTGGAGTCACTGTCCCTGGAGGTGTTTAAGGAAAGGTTGGATGTGGTGCTTAGGGACATAGTTTAGTGGGTGATATTAGTGGTAAGGGGATGGTTGGACCAGATGATCTTGGAGGTTTTTTCCAACCTTAATGATTCTATGAAAAGGAGCTCCTTTTAACAGAGGAAAATTGACTGATAAAGATAAGTCCACTATCTATCCTGTGCAGCAGTAGCTAGAAAATTTCACTGAAAGAAGAGGGACTAAACAAGGTACATAAATATATCTCCTTCCCATTCCTTCCCCCGAGAGCCTTCTGCATGCTCATGATCTAAATGCCAGATTGTATACAGTCTATTTCTATGGGAGGAAGAGCAGGAAAGAACCTTGCATAAGGGCTGGGAACAACTGTTGCTTTTATGAGTTAGACTTCTCCTGGGAGGACCCATTATCTCCAGGGAGCTTTATATCATGCACTGTTTCCCTACTAGAGCCATCGTAGCTAGGAAAGCAGTCAAGAGGGTCCAGCCAGATGGCAGTGGGACATCCCAGAATGCATAAAGTCATGACCACAGACTCCTCTGGCCACAACTCTTTTGCTAGCCACGGCATGGCTGTTCCTGGATCCTGCTGACTACTCCAAATGTGTGATAAACTCTTGTGTTTATCAAGGGTTCAAGCAGGCGCAGTTTTTACCACTATTCTGTGATCCTCAGAGTGCTTCTTTGATCGTCTCTGTACCAAGACTGGAAGCTCAAGCACATCCAATAGGGTGCCTCTGAGTCTATCAAACACCTATGTTATCTATACATAGATGTGCTACTTGCCAAACACACAGAGCACAAACTGCAGTAGGTATGATTTATATGCTTTTCTACATTACTTCTCCTCAGACTTCACGCATTCCCAGCTTCAAGGTAACTAAAGTATATTTACAATACTCCTTGACAGTCTATCACTTTTAACATATTCTTTCTAACAGAGGTGCTCTAGCCCTCTGATCATCTTTGTGGCCCTCCTCTGGACCTGTTCTAACAGGTCCACATCTTTCTTGTGCTGGGGGCCCCAGACCTGGATGCAGTGTTCCAAGTTGGGCCTCACCAGGGCAGAGTAGAGGGGAACGGACACCTCCCTCGAGCTGCTGAATACACCTCTGTTGATGCACAGGTGAACAGATTAATATATGTGTTATTAGTTACATAGAAAATTGAAATTACACATTAGTTGTGTTTGCATTTTAGAAGTCAGGAAATGACAAGTTTTGTGGAAGCTGACAAAGTGAGATGTAAATTATCTTCTTTGGGAATGGCTTGTATTGCACCTTGACAAAACCCTTGCTTGTCTGTGTGCAGTGTAGATGTTCCCACAGGATCACTCTGGCCCAAGGAAGGTCCCGTCCCCCAGAAAATATCACCTCTGCACTCCCTCTTGAGAGATAACAATGACTTGAATCTGCAGAATTTGACACCAATCCTGGCCATGCCATTTCCATTTTGGCTGTGCCAATGGTGAGTATGAGCTCTGTACAATTATGTATGCATTCCTTCCCAACTTGGTATTTTCCACCCCTCTTTCTTCTGGCCTTTTGATTTCCAGAGGTGCTTTGCATGTTGATTTATTCTGACAAAAATTGGTATCAGTTGTGTTCATACTGTTGGTGCAGAGAGACATGAAATAGTTGGTATTTAAAAACTGTACTAAGTTAACAACAGAGCAGCTATAGATTACATATCTCTCATTCTCTTCATAATATATTTTTATATATACTGCAATGCTTGTTTCAGTTCTTGGGAAGTTTCTCCAGAATAACAAAGGATGTTGTTGTGGTTTAACCCGTCCGTCAGCTAAACACCACACAGCAGTTTGCTCACCCTCCCCCCTCCCTCTCTGGGATGGGGGAGAGAAACGGGAAAATGAAGCCTTGAGATAAAGACAATTTATTAAGACAGAAAAAAATAATAATAACAATAATGATGATAATAGTACTACTAATAATAATGTGTACGAAACAAGTCTGAGTTGTTTGCTAATATAGATTTAAAAACTTTTTAAACTGAGATTTCTGTTGTACCTAAGCTTGAACAGATATGTTTAGGAATAATATGTATTTCAGATCTTTCAATGTAGGTGCTGCACATGCGTAAGAATGCATTTTAGTTTGAATCAATAAAAGCTGTATGCTCTTAGGCATTATAGAAAATGTTTTAAATATGACTGCAAAGTAAATAAGAAAATAGATGTTGCTTTATCACAAAATCACAGAATGGCTGAGGTTGGAAGGGACCTCTGAAGATCATGTAGTCCAACTCCCCTGCCAAGCAGGATCACCTAGAGCATGTTGTGCAGGATGGCATCCAGGCGGGTTTTGAATTTCGCCAGAGAAGGAGACTCCAGAACTTCTCTGGGCAACCTGTTCCAGTGCTCTGTCACCCTCACAGTAAAGAAGTGCTCCCTCATATTCAGCCGGAACCTCCTGTGCTTTGGTTTGTCCCCGTTGCCTCTCGTCCTGTCACTGGGCACAACTGAAAAGAGACAGGCTCCATCCTCTTGACACCCTCCCCTCAGAAATTTATATACATTAATGAGGTGTCCCCTCAGTCTTCTTTCTTCCAGGCTAAACAGGACCAGCTCTCTCAACCTGTCCTCATACGACAGGTGCTCCAGTCCTCTAATCATCTTAGTAGCCCTCCTCTGAAACTCGTTCCAGAGTTAGTTCTATGTCCCCCTTGTACTGTGGAGCCCAGAACTGGTCACAATATTCCAGGTGTGGCTTCACCAGGGCAGAATACAGGGGGAGGATCATCCCCCTTGACCTGCTGGCAACACTCTTCTGAATGCACCCCAGGATACTATTGACCTTCTTGGCCACAAGGGCACATTGCTGACTCATGGGCAGCCTGCTGTTCACCAGGCCTCCCAGGTCCCTCTCTGCAGAGCTGCTCTCCAGCAGGACACCCCGAGCCTGTACTGGTGCTTGGGGTTATTCCTCCCTAGGTGCAGGACCCCGCACTTGCCCTTGTTGAACTTCATGAGGTTCCTCTTGGCCCAACCTTCAAGCCCATTGAGGTCCCTCTGAATGGCAACACAGCCCTCTGGGGTATCAGCCACTCCTCCCAGCTTTGTGTCGACAGCAAACTTGCTGAGGGTGCACTCTGTTCCATTGTCCAGGTCGTTGATGAATAAGTTGAACAGGACTGGACCCAGTACCAACCCCTGGGGGGCACCACTAGCTACGGGCCTCCAACTAGACTCCGCAGCACTAATCACAACCCTCTGAGCTCTGCCATCCAGCCAATTATCAATCCACCTCACTGTCCACTCATCTAGCCCACACTTCCTGAGCTTGCCTATGAGAATGCTATGGGAGACAATGTCAAATGCCTTGCTGAAGTCAAGGTCGACCACATCGACCATTCTCCCCTCATCTACCCATCTAGTCATCCCATCACAGAAAGCTATCAGATTGGTTAATCATGATTTCCCCTTGGTGAATCCATGCTGACCATTCCCGATCACCTTCTTACCCTCTACATGCTTGGAGATGACCTCTAGGATGAGCTGTTCCATCACCTTTCCTGGGATGGAGGTGAGGCTGACTGGCCTGTAATTGCCTGTGTCCTTCTTCTTGCCCTTCTTGAAGACTGTCGTGATATAGGCTTTCTTCCAGTCCTCAGTCACCTCTCCAGTTCTCCATAACCTTTCAAAGATGATGGAGAGTGGCCTAACAATAATATCAGCCAGCTCCCTCAGCACCCAAGGGTGCATTCCATTGGGGCACATGGATTTGTGGATATCAGGTTTGCTTAAATGATCTCTGACCCAATCCTCTTTGACCAAGGGAAAGTCCTCCTTTCTCCACGCTTCCTCTCATCTCCAGGGTCTAAGATACCTAAGGGCTGATATTAGCAGTGGATGGAATACCCCTTGGGCCAGTTTGGGTCAGCTGTCCTGGGTCTGTCCCCTCCCAGCTCCTGCTGCACCCCCAGCCTGCCCACTGGCAGGACAGAGTGAGAAGCTGAGATGTCCTTGGCTTGGTGTAAGCACTGCTCTGCAACAATTAAAACATCAGCATGTAATCAGCACTCTTCTCATCCTCATCCAAAACATAGCACCCTACCAGCTACTAGGAGGAAAATTAACTCTATCCTAGCCGAAACCAGGACATCTATCCACCCCTTATTCCATACCATTTATGTCATGCTCAGGGTACACCTTATCCAATACATCCAATTAATCACCGTTTTCATCTATAGTATATAGAATGTCCACTGAGTTTGCATAGTCAGTGACTGACTTCCGGCTCCATCTGTCACAGCACTCTTTCAGGGCAGAAGAGGTGTTGTGTGATGTTGGATCGTCACAAGTTGAAGCACATTCTCGTTCCATCACATCTCTGTGCTTGTCCATTTCTATCAAAATTCATTCATCAGTACCTGTGTGGCTGTTACTGCGATACCATTAATATGAATAACAATCATGGTAGTGATGACATACAGTATTATATAATAATTAACATAATACAATTCAACTCATGGGCTACTCCCACCCAGGATTAAATCCCCTTGAGGTATACACTGGACCTCCCCATTAATTTGCATTACCCACCAAGTGCATCCAGGTCCCTGAGCAAAAGCAATTCCACAAATGGCTTTGCCTTTTCTTGAGGCAGGAGTAGCCCAGACTGTTTTACCCAGCATGTTTCTTACGTGCACTACAGGAACTTTATCCCCTTCTACAGTACGTAACAGGTTTGATTGGGCAGGTCCAGCTCGGTTGGCAGATCCCCTAGTATTGACTAACCAGGTGGCCCCTGACAAATGCGTATCCCAATTTTTGAATGTCCCAGCGCCCATTGCTTTCAATGTAGTCTTTAACAGTCCATTGTATCATTCAGCTTTCCCAGAGGCTGGTGCATGATAGGGGATGTGATACACCCACTCAATACCATGCTCTTTGGCCCAAGTGTCTATAAGGTTGTTTCGGAAATGAGTCCCATTGTCTGACTCTATTCTTTCTGGGGTGCCATGTCACCACAGGACTTGTTTTTCAAGGCCCAGGATAGTGTTCTGGGCGGTGGCATGAGGCACCGGATATGTTTCCAGCCATCCGGTGGTTGCTTCCACCATTGTAAGTAGGAGGCGCTTGCCATTGCGAGTTTGAGGGAGTGTGATGTAATCAATCTGCCAGGCCTCTCCATATTTATATTTCAGCCACCGTCCTCCATACCAAAGAGGCTTTGACCGTTTGGCTTGCTTGATTGCAGCACATGTTTCACAGTCATGAATAACCTGTGCTATAGTGTCCATGGTCAGGTCCACCCCTCGATCACGAGCCCATCTGTATGTTGCATCTCTACCTTGATGGCCTGAGGTGTCATGGGCCCATCAGGCTATATTCACCTTTATGTTGCCAGTCCAGGTCCACCTGAGCCACTTCAATCTTAGCAGCCTGATCCACCTGCTGGTTGTTTTGATGTTCTTCAGTAGCCCGATTCCTGGGCACATGAGCATCTACGTGGCGTACCTTTACAGCCAGGTTCTCTACCCGGGCAGCAATATCTTGCCACAATGCAGCAGCCCAGATGGGTTTGTCCCTGCGCTGCCAGTTGTTCTGCTTCCATTGCTGTAACCACCCCCACAGGGCATTTGCTACCATCCATGAAGCAGTATAGAGAAAGAACTGGCCACTTTTCTCGCTCAGCAATATCTAAAGCTGTTATTGGAACAGCTTGTTCTGGATGCCATCTCCAAGACATTGGAAGAGGAGAGGGTTATGAGGAGTAGTCTGCATGGATTCACCAAGGGGAAGTCGTTCTCGACCAACCTCGTTGCCTTCTATGATGGCATCACCAGCTGGGTAGATGAGGGGAGAGCAGTGGATGTCATCTACCTTGATTTTAGCAAGGCTTTTGATACTGTCTCCCATGACATCCTGATAGCAAAGCTGAGAAAGTGTGGGATAGAGGAGTGGACAGTAAAGTGGGTTGAGAACTGGCCGACTGGCCGAGCTCAGAGGGTGGTGATCAGTGGAGCAGAGTCTGGCTGGAGGCCTGTGACTAGCGGTGTTCCCCAGGGGTCGGTGCTGGGTCCGGTCTTGTTCAACATCTTCATCAATGACCTTGATGAGGGAATAGTGTCCACCTTCAGAGAGTACGCCGATGACGCAAAGCTGGGAGGAGTGGCTGACACGCCAGAAGGCTGCGCTGCCATTCAGCGAGACCTGGACCGGCTGGAGAGATGGGCAGGAAGAAACCAAATGAGGTTTAATAAGATCCAGTGTAGAGTCCTGCATCTGGGAAGGAACAACCGGATATATCAGTACAGGCTGGGGGATGACCTGCTGGAGAGGAGCTCTGAGGAGAAGGACCTGGGGGTCCTGGTGGACGACAGGTTAAACATGACTCAGCAGTGCGCCCTTGTGGCCAAGATGGCCTGTGGGATCCTGGCATGCATTAAAAGGAGCATGGCCAGCAGGTCAAGGGAGGTGATCCTCCCCCTCTACTCTGCCC